ATAAGCCAACAGAGTGATGAAGCTCATACGAAATCTGTAAAATACGAGAAATGATCACACACTCATCACAACAAAAAACAGATTAGCCAAAAAAAAAAATTCGTACTTGGTTCTTCACAGCTGTAGCAGAGATGCCGAGGTCACGTCTTAGTGGTTTGGCCTTGTCCTAATGACATTTAGGCGTGGGCTTGACTTAAGGTACTTTGCGTCGTTAATTTTAAGATCCTCTATGTGGTCTACATATGTGTAAACTTGACCACGTTTCTCCAAACCTTGGATCTCAACACACCGGAGAGTGTTCCTATCGGGATTGAAGTAGAAAACGTCAAACCGTTCAGATGCATGTCTCTCCGACAAAACAATTTCACCTGTAGCAGTCACTCCAGCGATGGAAACATTGTTGCGATAAACGGGTGCATTCTCCGCAAAAGTGTAGACATATTTCGACCATTCCTGTTTCTCGACATCCTCTAAAACCCAAATACGCAACACACGACTGTTCCACCAAATCACACCTAATTTACCTTTATAGTTAACCAATTTATGAAAGTTGTCAAAAATGCTTTCTTCCTTGATAGGCTTTAATCTAAATTTCTCAGACCTAACATCAAAGCAAACTATCACATAAACCTCTTTTTGGATATCTGGGTAATACAAAACCCCATTGATGCTTATCCCTCGATACACACAGTTATGGATAAAGGGACATTGGATCTTCCTCCACCTCATTTCACCCGTTCCTAATGTCAAAATTCTATGATATTCACCAGCTGCATTAGGTATAGACACTACCTTAAATTGTTTTTCAATCGGATCAAACCCTAAAATGTTGCACCGCATGTACTCTTCCATTCTAGGTAGGCTCACGTATTGTCCCGTTTTAGGGTTACAAATAAAAGGCATTGTATCCTCACCACTCTTATTTGAGATCCGCATTTTAGAGAAATAAATTAAACCAGAGGCATGGCTGCATGTATTGAGGGAACTTCATATGAAAAGATGAGTTGGCTATTACAAGAGGAGACGACTTGTGATATGGATTGTGAGGCTGAAGCGACGAGTAGACGCTATACTCACCGGGTGGTGTGAGGACCACCAATAAGAGGCGCGGACGAGAGCATGGCCTTGTCAAGAACAGCTCCGTGAAATAGGGACGGCGAAACGTGGAACACCATCGCTTGGACACGCAACGGAACCTCGCGATTGACTTTGCAGGGAGTCTGGAGAATATCTCGACGATGAGATCATTCGGTATTGAGACCGATTTGTCTTCTCTTGTATCCATGATCGAGTTTTGCATTTTTGTGATGTGACGGCGAGAGATGTAGATGGAATACAAAATGATCATAGAGACCTGATAGATATATTAGGTTTACGATTTAAGGTTTTCGAAAATAATATAAAAAAAACGAAAATATCATAAAATTTAAATCTTCATCACCGCCACAGAAATTTACGAAAAGATGAAAAAAAATTGGCCGTTGATAAATAGTTTCTTTACAAAAATAAAAATAAAACTTTTACAATGGGCCAGAATACAGCTAGCTGCCTGTAGGATTCACGTTTCGTCCAACAGACTGAGATTTTCTTGGAAGAGAGAGGATTTGTAGACAACCAATGAAAAGCTCGTATTCTCTAGAATAAAAATCCTCCTCTTCTTCCTCTGCTTTTCAATTTTTGTCTTGTTGATGAGGGAGAGAAAATGCATCTAAACAGAGATTATTGCTAACAAAGATTTGAGTGTTTGTTGAGTTTTAAGTAAGTATAAACATAATTATTTCATTGTTGTTATTGAAGTCATCTCAAACCATCAGTGGAGTTTCTTACGCCAGTACATATGATTGTTCCACCAAGTGGTTTGAAAAGATATCAATAAGAAATAAAAATGGCTACAAATTAACCTCTATAATTCGATTGTCAGGTTCAACAATATATTCCGGCAGAAAGGAAAGTTCTATTAGTCTATTTGCAATAAGGCCTAGAAAATCATTTCAAAGAACTTAGTAGAAAGGCTGTGATGTAAAATTCGGAATTCATCAAAATCTACACACGGGTTGCTGATCGATTTCACGACTAACGAAGCTAGAGGTGAAATCCCAATGTATATCCTTTGTGAGGGATAAAAGTCTCTACACAAAAACTCAAATGTCTGATTTAACAAAACATTTAACAACACAAGAGAAATGATTCCACACATTCTTTACTGAACAAAGTAATAAATTTTAAGTTTTTTAGAGAAAATTCTCTTTTATTTTCTAAAAAATTTAATATATTTTTATAATGAGAATAGATGAGCATTTTTGTAGTTTTTACAAAAAATATTTATAATAAATTATATTTAAATTTAATTATTTACAATTAAACAAAAAGAGAAAAATAAGCTATATCAAATAAATGTTTTTAGGCCACCAATTTTGCTTTGGAATCGGATAAAAATATTTTGATTTTATAAAATTATGAACACTTTTAATTATCTAATTTTTGATATTGTATCAGATTGAAACCAATCATGGCTACATTGCATCATCTCTGCCATCATATATACCAGATAGACAAATTACTAAACTCTTAATGAAGTTGGGATATAAGGAAAGGGTTTTGATAAACTTAAATGAAATATCATAGAAACTCAAATGAGATTTTAAGTGATCGTTGGTGTTGTTGGATAATGAAGCGTGTCACCTCAGTCCTTTCTCAAATCTATCAGGTAAGTAGTTGTTCTTTCTCAAATGCTTTACATCAAAATATTGCTACTCTGCTCCAGCACAAGGCAGGTTCAATAAATCATCTGAATCATTTCCCGTATCTTTGAGTGGAGAAAGATTATGGAGGGGATGATCTTCTATTTCAAACATTAGCCACAAGACAGTTCCTGATGCAAAAGCTATGGAAAGAACCAAACGAATGGACAAAGCAGGAGTTGTCAAAAAACAAAAAAAAAAAAGAATGGACAAAGCAGGAAAGACAATGATGGACTACCATTGGTACGGAGGACATCAACCGTGCAAGAGTACCGAACCGGAAGTATTCCAATTGATGTCCGGTTTGTTTAATTTCATTTTCTGCAATTTGCTTCAGTTAATAACAGAGGAATCAGTCTTGCTCATTTTAAGGAACCACCTTCTCCACTTTTCAACTTTCCTAGTTTGTAGGAGCTGTTATTGTTTCTTTGATCTATTTAAGTGAATGGAAAAGCCAAAAATAGGCAATCCAAATTGCCAACACTTGTGCGGTTTACAAATTGATTTCGAGGCAAGAGTTGTAAATCTGAGATCCATCAGATAACTCTGGAAGCTCTTTAATTATCAAAAGTAACAACCTGTGCTGTTTTGTAAATGTCTCATGGATTGCTGAAAAGAGAAGCTTCTTGGTCTCTTCACCAAAAGAGAGGCTTGTAGATTGCAAAAGCCATCTTCATAACTGGAACCAACCCATTCTCCATTATATACAGAGGCAGCTTGCGCTTAGAATGGCAGTATCCGATATCAGAAGGCTGTGTGCTATATCTGAATGTCACATTCTGTGGAGACTCCAAAGTCATCTACAGTCTCCTTCAGCATGAGACAAGCACACGAAAATACTTGAATTCAAGAGTAGATCCGGTTTCAGTCTTGACACCATACGTTGTGCACTGATGAGGTCAGTTTTAGCACAAGGGAATGATGGAGGAACTAATTTCAATAAAGCTGGCTATATAAAGCATTCACATAGATCATAACTAGGATAAAGTTGGTTATATAAAGCATTCTCTCAATGTCGTTGTGGCAGAAAGCTCTAGTATCCCATTTCATTTTATCCATAAGTTATTTTTTCAAAAATTAAAAGAATTCATTGTTAAGGTCTAGATGAATGTTCATACTGACAAGAATGTAATTCTCTTGTGTTTAGGGCTATTAATTGGTTGGGCCGATTAATAGTTAGGCCTAGTTCGCAAAAACATGGTATGTCTATGGACAAGCCCATTATTGAGCTTAGACCAGCTGACCCGGGGTCATTCCTGGGCGGGTCAGAGCGGATCCGCGTGGATCAAAAGGGCGAAAACATACAACTTTCCCTAAGTTTCTCTCTTCCAGCGACGGCGATTTCCAGATCCTCCTTATCAAGGTGAATCTCCTCTGTATAGAATCTTTTATGTTTGTTGCTTTGTCAGTCTCAATACTCCAATGTGTTTGAACTGTGGAAGAATGGACACACTTGGTATTGTTTGGCTTCATTAACTTTTCCTCGTTTAATCTTCATGGACGCAGGTGATAAAAAGGAAACAACACTGTCAATTTGTAATTGTTAGAATTGTCCCACATCGGAAGTTTGGGAGATTTGTGGCCAATATAAATAGTATGAGGCAATCCTCCACTCTTGAGCTAGCTTTTGGGTGTGAGTTAGGCCCATTACTAATATGGTATCAGAGCCCAGGTTATACCCAACTGTTTTGATTGTGGCCTCCACTCGCGATTATACTCCACGCTTCAGACTTAGAATTCTGAGCGTGAGGGGGCCTGTTGGAATTGTCCCACATCGGAAGTTTGAGAGATTTGTGGCCAATATAAATAGTATGAGGCAATCCTCCACTCTTGAGCTAGCTTTTGGGTGTGAGTTAGGCCCATTACTAATAGTAATCTCTCGAAAAAGGTAACCCTTCACTTTCTCCTTGCCCTATGCAGTTTTACGTGAGGTTTCTATTGATGGGTTTCTTCTGACGAGTTTCGTATAACTGTTAGCTGTAATTTGTGTCTCCGAGAGTCTTTTGATTTTCTTCGACTCGCTTGTATCTTATGTTTGATTGGATATGTTCCCTATAATATCTTGTTGGACTATAATCTCTAGGGACAGTGTTAGAGAAATATCCCGCATTTGAAGTTAAGAGTGACTAGTCTTATTATATTAAATAAATTTACCATTTTTATAGATTCCATTCTGATAACTGCCATATCTTTTCCCCAGTATTTAATTTCTGATTGAATTTTTCTTTTCATGTTTAAAGTCTTCAATAAAACGCATTGATGAACACCAACAAGGTGGCAGAGGCTAAATACGAGAATGCTCCGACATGGATTTTTTGGGACATTTCGTTCATGCCGGTTCCCAAGGGTCATTTGTCTAAAGCTGGTGAGATCGCTCAGAAACTAAAGTCGGCGCTGAATAAGTTGAACTATCGTGGTCCAGTCTCCATCATTGCCTATGGCAACATGAATCACGTCCCTACTTCCATCAAGAAGGCTCTCTCTTCCGCTGGGATTGCTCTTAACCACGTCTCCGGTTAATCTTCTTATCCCTTAACTTACTCTTAAATCTTTAGGTGTGTATATTAAGTACAAGTAATACACTGTTGCTCGGATTCAACTGGCTCTGTGTTTTTGCAAATAGTACGATTATGGTGTAACAATATGAGTTAGTATTTGTCTCACGTCTTTTTTTTCTGTTTTGAAACAGGTGGGAGTCGTGAGACTATCTCACATTTTGAAGATGACCTTTTGTTTCTGCTAATGGAGAATACTCCAGCTCCGGCTAATCTAATGCTCATCGCTCGTCACCCGGCTCTCATGGATAGTCTTGGCGAGATGCAATCTGAAGGTTACAATATTCTCCTGGCAACTCATCTAAATGCTGATGACTCTTTCTTGTCTTGTGCAACGACGGCATGGCTATGGGTGGGCTTATGGGATGAACCTGAACCTGAACCTGAACCAGCACCAGCAAGCTTGCCTGAACCTGAACCTGAACCAGCACCAGCAAGCTTGCCCTAGTTAATACTTCTTTATTTGCTTTATGTCTGTGTGTAAAGGTGTTTCCGTTTCTATTGTCATCAGCGTCCTCGAAAACAATGTCTACGTAAATTTCTAAAACGGCTGAAAGAGGTGACGATTTTTAATGATGCGAGAACTTCTACACTGCGGACCTCATTTTGAGTTTAATTAGTTTAAGAATCGGAAATTAAGTTTCATTTTTAGTTTAATATTGGATGCATTATCTCAACTAACTCACTCCTCCTAAAGTTATCGTCATAAGTACTAGCTTAGGCTCTTATGTTATAAACTTCTAGTCCAATAAATTGCAATCAGTCTCAAACGCTTCATGGTTTTCTCAGACACCACTTTATATACAAGGAAAGGAAGTATAAGCCTATAAGGAAATAGCTAGGTTTGATGTAAGGTTATTTTTTTTACTTAGATGGATTACATGCGCGACTCGTGCTTTAATTTTAAGGATCAATTTATTTTCAATCAACACATGTATAAAGTAAACCTTATTGTATAAAGTATTAAGTAAATAAATATGGTGTGCCATATCAAAAATATGTTTTCAGTGCACTTCGACAAAAAAATACCATTTTGATTCTTGCTCATTTAGCACTATAATTTGAAGTCATGTGTCAAATAAAATTGAGTGATATGGTGTAAAATAGCATGCGATAATTAATAAATATATATGTAGCAACGTATTATAAAATAAAACGAGATCATAGACTCATAGTGTACATAAAATAACGTGTCATCGGGATATAATAGATTAGTGATATATTTGTGGGGACAAAATTTTCATTTTATATCGATCGAGCCATTTGAATTTGTTTATTTGTTTATTTTCAAGTTTCTTTACCTAATCAAAAAGATCTATCGTTATATATTCTTTGTGAATATTCCCTACATTTATTTAGAGTATAGTTTTAGAAAAAGGTTGGCTTCATTTTGTTCTTTTTTTTTGTTTTTTTCCATTTTCAGAATAGGTTAGTTTGGTACGATGTTTAACATTTATAATTGTTACTATTTTCATTTATAATTCCACTCCCGATTGAAAACTTCTGGTACTCCACATTAATCTACCCTTGAATATATGCTATGTATACCTTATTTATATATACATTATTAGACATCATATCAGTTAGACACCTACCGAAACTAAAATGTAAGTGTCAAGGTGAAAAGTTAAATTGAAGTGTCAAAATGTGAATAAACAAAATAAGGTTGCTTGCAGAGTGAAGACAACCCGAAATTACCAAGTTCAAAAAAGTCCATAAATGGCGATTTCTTGAAGGTTAATATTTACATTGAGTTCTAGAATTTGATATATCTACAATTTGTTTACCCCCTCTAGCTTTTTGCTAGATTTTGGGGCTAGGGAGAATTTTAATGAATAGACAATAAATGAACATACCCGTACGTGTATATATGAGCATTTTATACACAGAGATAGAGATATAGATTTTTATATGTATAAGCTTATATTGTGTATATACGCGTATTAGGAGTGGACGCAGAAAATAATTATATATAGAGCACAATATATATAAATATTTAATATAATTAAATTAATTAAAATATATTATGAATATTGAAATTTATAATATAAATTATTATAGTTTTTGTTAATTTTTGAAAATATATAAAACTAAATAAATAAATAAATTTGGAAATAGAAACAATAAAAAATATAGAAAAGATGAATTTGAAGTTATACGAAGAATAATTAAGCTACAATGAATTTTATAACATAAATTATTATAGTTTTTATTAATTTTTGAAAATTTATAAAACTAAATAAATAAATAAAATTAGAAAAGGAAGAACATGGAAACAGATTGAATTTAGATTTATATAAAAAATATTTTAGCTACAAAACTAACTGAGTTATTAAACTGTTAATGTTATATATATATATATTATTTATAGATTTAGTATGTGGCACATGCCCCACCCACCTATAATATGGATCTACTTCTGATGCGTATATATATTACATAAAAAAACCTCATATATATCTCTATCTGACTATTAAGAGTGGGGAGCCAGTTGTGACATCTGATCTTGAAAATGGAGAGCCAGTTGTGACACATAATCTTGAACAAAGCCCACTTGTCACTTTGATACTACAACAAGGTCAGATTTTCTCAAACCTTGTACTTGCCACTACTCATGAAGAGGACAAGTTATCATCAGAGAGAAGCTCAGCATCCAGAGCAACACTGGCTGTTGCCATCTCCTAAAGCCCAAAAAGTTGATTGATCAGAAGTGGAGAGAAAACATACTCGTGACCTCGAAGCACCATGTGAATCTCATCGGAGAGTACCTTCTCATCTGGAAGGTGAGCCCAAACTCTCTGATGATGGTCAGAAGAAAACAGCTGATGCTAGTGATTGTGGGGATCAGACCGACATCGCGAATGGAAGCCTCAACACCAGGGGGAAGCGACTTGAGATCCACTTCTCATTCTGCCAGGAAGTTGCGATTGAGGAAGAGATTGAATCGATCACTGACACGAAGGGAGGTGAATCGATTGGCATCAAACTCAGAAGATAAGGAGGCTTTGGAGAATTGACTCTTCTTTTTAGACGGCTCACCCTGATCTGGTTTTGATTTGATGTGTCTCCTGCTACGATGAACTCTGCGGGCATTCGAACAGAGGAGGACTTGCTTCTCTTCAGTGACGGAGTTACAGAACTTGCAGACGAGGTCATCAGATGAGTCATATGTGGTGCCGAACCAACTGGATTTGATGGAACCAAACCGACATATGAAACAATTGCCAAAGCCTTGGGGTTTGCATGTGACATCGAAGCACTTGCAGGGGACGACGGAGGCAAATCTTCACGAGCAACTGGTTGAACTGGTGGGTTACCAACAAGCCGAGATAGACCGGAGAAAATTGCCTTCATCGGTGAGTGCAGAGAGTTGCGAAGCCCTAGGGATGATGAACGGTTGAATAGAGATGAGTGACTGTTCGCGCTCTCATTCATTACCCTAAATAGGCATTTCCCTCCAAGCATCACCAATCAATGGGCCATGGATTCCTGGACTTGGGCCTTAGAAAAACTTGGTTAGAATCACACAAAGACTTTGTCACCAGGTTGAATCTCATCAATCAATCCATTAGATAACGAGAGTATTGAATCAATTTCATGAAATTTGCCAGCACACTAATCAAGATATTTTTACAACTCAGAACAGTGAGGGACCCAATTTGACCATGACACATTTAAAATTGGATTGTTCATACCTTTGATGGTGTGTATTTTTGATATTGGATATCCTCCTGATGATTCAGAACACGTGACAGGAAGGAACTCAAGACAGGAAACTAGTATTCTCTAGATCCAGTGGCTGAACTTTCACACTGTGGTGTCTTTATCCCTTATGTTCAAAGTTTTCAACCCCGGCAGATCGCATACTGATAACTCAAAACTTTTATAGAGAGTTGACCTTCACATGTATTTTACCTTCATTGAGCTGGGTCTCAGGTTTCAACATGATGATGATGAAGGTGCAATATTATCTTGTTCCTTTATACTGATCAACTCAGCTTTCTTTTCTCTCCTTTTATTCATTTTTTTTAACTTGTTCAACCGAGTGATCAGTTTGGAACTCACACTCTCTCCAGTTCGTATATCAGCACGTACATCAGCACGTACATCCATGCAACTAGTACTTTTCAATAAGTGACGACACTGCAAGCAGCCTTTTTCCATTGGACACTACATATACAGAGAACGATGTAAACCAAAACACTTTAGTCTTTGACTGAGTCCGTCCCTGCATGCGTTCCTGTCCAAAATCACAGGAACTTACACACACATCATTAGTATTCGCACACACATATGGATTTTCTTAGAGTTACAAACCTATTGAAATCCAAAGGCTTAGTGAACAAATCAGCAAGTTGATATTCAGTACTAACATGTGTCACCTCAATTAGTTTCTCCTCAACCAATCGTATGAAATGATGTCTGATATCTATATGTTGCGGGAGTGCTGAACATGATTCTTAGCAATATTAATTGCACTCTCATTGTCACGATGAATCAAAAGTGATTTATATTCCATACCATAGTCCGCTGTCATTTACTTCATCCAAAGGAGTTGAGCACAGTCGCTGCTTAAGGCTATATATTCAGCCTCAGCTGTTGATAACAAAACCCTGTTCTGCTTCTTGCTGTGCAATGAGATCAGGTTGTTCCCAAGAAAGAAACATCTACCACTTGTTCTCCTCCTGTCATCCAATCATCCAGTCCTGTCTATATCACAATATCCAGCCAGATTCTGGTTTGTATCAATTGAGTAAAGTAACCCATGTTGATTGTCCCTTTGACATATTTGATGATCCTCTTAACTGCTCGCATGTGTGACATTTTAGGCACAGCCTGATACCTAGCACATATTTCCACACTGAGACATGTATCAGGTCGGCTGGCAGTCAGATACAACAGACTTCCAATCATGCTTCAATACAGTTTGGTATCCACATCTTCTCCTTCTGCATCTTTTGATAGCTTGTAGTTAGTGCCTATTGGAGTCTTAGCCACTTTACTGGAGTCTAATCCAAATCGATTGACCAGATTCCTGGCATACATGCTCTGAGATATGAAAACACCGTCATCTGATTGCTTGATCTGAAAGCCCAGAAAATAATCTAGCTTACCAACCATGCTCATCTCAAACTCTTTCGTCATTATGCTAACAAAGTCATCAACCATCCTTTGACTTGTCACTCTGAAGACAATGTCATCAACATAGATTTGAACCACCATAAATCCATATTTTCTTGTGATGGTGAACAAGGTTTTATCAACACTCCCACATTGATAGCCATTCTGCATCAGGAAGAAAGCCAGTCTCTCAAACTAAGCCAGTGGAGCTTGTTTCAAGCTATAAAGAGCTTTCTGTAGTTTGTATACGTACTCAGGATGATTTGAATCTTCAAATCCTTTAGGTTTCTCAACAAAAACTTCCTTCTGAAGGTACCCATTCAAGAA